AAAATTAAATTGTCTAATATTTTGTCCCATATAATAATTTTGATTATTTTTTAATTATAATTTTTTTTGGTTAGTTAACAAATTGACTCTATTTATTACGTACATAAATAGACATCATTACGTTTAGAACATAAAAGCAGCTTGATATTCTTGACTTTTTAAAAACTTCGAAAAATATGTAAAAGTTTCTTCATAATCTCAACACAAACGACGTCGTTTGTGGTCAAACAGAATTTTCATTTTCTTCCTCTACTAGAAAAGCATGAGCACGTGTTAACACATTAAGGGACACGCTCGTAAATCACAATACATTTGAAGGATACTTTCGTCTTTTAACAATCATACCTCACCCCTGTTAAGTGCTTCTTCATTTATTACTTCACCAGAAACAAGAAAGGAAAAAAAAGCGCCAAAAAAATCATTTTTTTCCACCGGCGAGGTAGAACAAGACAAGAAAGACGACGAAGTTTTCTACAGTTTCCGGTTAATCGGGAGGAAAAAAATGACGTCGGGAACGCGAACGCCGACATGGAAAGAGAGAGAGAATAACAAACGGCGAGAGCGGCGAAGACGCGCGATTGCGGCTAAGATCTTCGCTGGACTTAGGATTCATGGTAACTTCAAGCTTCCTAAACACTGCGACAACAACGAAGTACTTAAAGCTCTCTGTAATGAAGCTGGTTGGACCGTAGAAGACGACGGTACAACTTACCGGAAGGTAAACCGAAACATAAACCGATCCTAATTTTTCCGATTTGAAAATTTCTTTGATTAACTTAGATCTGAGCTTTTCGATTTTGGGGGAAGAGAGCGTAATTTTGTTTCTGGTTTATGCAAAACCGTACGGTTATGATTTGATTTTGACCGGTTTATTAGTTCGTCATTTTTTGCAAACGTCAGATTCGAAACCGTTTTTATCTCTCCGGTAAGATTCGCTGATGTTTTTACGACGATTACAAAAAAACTCTCCGTTCAATTTCAGATGAGGATTTACGTAATGACAAATTTACCCTTATGTAATCATACGGTTTGAGGAGAATAAGTCTGGGTATTATCGTCATTTTCACATAGAATGTAGCTTTTTTTGCTTTGATAAATTTTTCTTTTTGTGTTTTTCTTTGGTTACCTTTTGCTTTAATTATTTTTAAGACAAGTCTGTTTCACGAAACTGCCATTGTTAATGGGTTTGGATTCCTTTGTACAACGATCGAGGAAGACTTTTTTTCTTTTCTTTTTTCACATGGTTTTTTTCCCCTTTTCAGACTGACACTTTCTCTGCAATTCCAATTTTTTCTTTTTCAGAAATCATAAAATTTTCTTATTCTTTTTTGCTTACGTTCACACTTGCACTAAAGTCCTTACATTTTGTTACATTGACATCAAAATTAAGCAAAAAGACCCAATTTTTACGTATGTGTAGCTGTTGATCTAGTATTTAGTTATTTTACTAGGAAAAGGTAAAGTTTTTCAAGAAATTTAAAATAAAGGAGTTTGAATTTTCTTGACTCGTGTGATACAATAATTTCCATGAGTGTTTATTGTTGTTTGGTTATAGTATTAATTTTGTCTTAATTCTTGTTTTGAACCAGTCAATGTTTGAGACTTCAGAAATGATTTCTCTTTTACCAACATCTAATGATGATGTTTGGATTCTGGTTGTGTGGGGAAAAAAAAAAATAATCGAATTATTCATTATTTGACCATTAAAATGCCAAAGAAAATCATTTTTTTTTTTCTTAGGTGCATTTGGATTTCCAATTATCAATCATAGTGTCATCTTGTTCATGCTCACCAGCTTTTTCACATTTTGTGAAAAAGAGAAAGAAAAAAAAAACATTTTAAAAAATCTTCTCTTATGATGTAATAAATCCATTATCAAAGATTATTCTTTGACCATTATAAACAAAATCATTCTCTTTCTTGGTGCGTTTTAGCTTTTTGCATTTCGTGAAAATAACATTTTAAACTCTCTTCTATGTAATTACTAGGGAAGGCCACGCTATGAGTGGAGTTTAAAAATTAACATGGTAAAATATATAATTGATTCTAGTGTATTGATTATTTGTGTATTTAATAATATATAAATTTGGTCTTTATAGTAAATAATTATCTAAGTTAAAGACTAAACATTTGTAACAAATTGTTGTACATATACAATGTTATATGCACTACGGTTTCCTAAAAAATTGATTGCTCATCTTTTTTTTGTGTCAAATATGCTTGTAAAAATCTATTGATCAGACAAATTATAATATATTTTGCTCGTACCGAGAGAGCTGCATCATCTCAACAGAACTGTGAGAATGCATCTTTCTATTTCTTTTGTTAGAACCTTGAATCATAAGAAAATAATATTTGATGCTTCATTGTATTTGTGTCTCACTTTATTTGTCTATTTGCTGTGATTTTTATCTTTCACATTGATTTATTGGTGAACTGATTCTCTGTTTCTAGATTTATTATTTGTGGTAGAGTAATGTTTTCTTTCGATAGTTTTAGTTAGGAGAGTTACTTTGTCCAACACAAATTATTTTAATTGCATTGGTAATTGGTAAATTAGTTTTGAAGCTATGAAAACATTTTAAAAAATGTTAAAAGTCTAAATTTCTCATCAGACTTTAGTATTTTAACAGCCTCAAGAGTCGTAGAATCATTCTTTATATGTCTCACATCATTTTTTTTCTTCATGTTATAATTCTTTTTATTAAAACTTCTCTTTTGTAATTTTTNATTTTAAATCACAATTACCTATATAAAAATCAAAGTTTTAAACGTTTTCGTATAGTAATTGTTGAATTTGATAAATAAATTGTATATTTTCTATACATAAATTTACATTAGAATTACATAAATGTACACAACACATTTAATTGTAATTTGTTAGAATTAATTTACATAAGGATTAGGTATTAAATTGTTAGAACTAATTGCTAAAGTATTTAAAAGACATTTAATTTTCATTTTTATTCAATAATTAAATTTAAAAACTAAATGTCAAAAAATTAGATGACACATGGCAACTTCTCATGACTTGAGTTTTGAGAAACCTTAAGATATTATATAAGATTAATCCACTAGCAAAATATTGTTACTCTGTTTGAAATGGAATGTTTTGATTCTTAAGACATTTTGGTATAAACTCTTGTGTAGGGATGCAAACCAATGGATCGAATGGAATTCATGAATGGTTCGACATCGGCGAGTCCTTGTTCATCGTACCAACCGAGTCCTCGTGCTTCCTACAATCCAAGCCCTTCATCTTCGTCATTCCCTAGTCCAACGAACCCATTTGGTGATGCTAACTCACTAATCCCATGGCTCAAGAACCTCTCTTCAAACTCACCTTCAAAGCTTCCATTCTTCCATGGAAACTCGATAAGCGCACCCGTGACTCCACCATTGGCTCGAAGCCCTACTCGTGATCAAGTAACCATCCCTGACTCAGGATGGCTCTCAGGGATGCAAACACCACAGAGCGGACCGTCTTCTCCAACATTCAGTTTAGTTTCAAGAAACCCGTTTTTCGACAAAGAGGCTTTTAAAATGGGAGATTGTAATTCACCAATGTGGACTCCTGGACAAAGTGGAAACTGTTCTCCAGCTATTCCTGCTGGTCTTGATCAAAACTCTGATGTGCCAATGTCTGATGGAATGGCGGCTGAGTTTGCGTTTGGTTGTAACGCAATCACTGCGATTGGAATGGTTAAGCCTTGGGAAGGAGAAAGGATACATGGAGAATGTGTTTCAGATGATTTAGAACTTACACTTGGAAACTCAAGAACCAGATGATGATTAATGATGATTTTCAGAGAAGATAATCACATTGTCGTTTGCTATCAGAATTAATTAATCTC